ATGTGTAAAGGTAAGTTAATGCCTCTAGAGTACAGTCAAAAAAAAAACATTTCTTTGATGCAATCTATTTATTATTTTCTTTCAAAGGCAATTTTCACCACACATAATGATTGTCCTCAGGTGCCTTTAATCCTATGCTGGAAGACCCTTTGCCAGGACACAGGAAATCTCAGCTAGTGCTCAAGATAATTAGTGGCCAGCAGCTACCGAAGTCAAAAGACTCCATGTTAGGGGACAGAGGAGAGGTGAGTTCACTCATATTGAAAAGGAAAGTAAATAATCATGTGTAACAAACTGTCTGAGATGGAATGTTTTGTTGTCCAGATCATAGATCCCTTTGTGGAAGTGGAGATTATCGGATTGCCTGTTGATTGCAATAAACAGCAGACAAGAGTAGTGGATGACAACGGTAAGTACAAAGCTAGATTGTACAAACAGAACTTGGTATTACTTTAATTAAAACTTATAAGGGTTAGTGGTTGTTTAATGTGTTTTTTAGGGATAGACACTGATGGCAATAAAAAAAAAAAAAGGTGAGGTGGCATTCACACAGAACGTGTTTTTGAGTTCTGCTGCTGTGTTTTGTAATTGTTTTTCCAACGTAAACAAACAGTCTTAGACTGTTGCGCCGTGTCTGGCACATTTTCTTTTCACACATCTTCTTTTCCATTGCATTTAAAAGCAAGTCGTATTTCCTGCGTATAAAATGAACACAGCTCGGACCATGATGTCAGTTTCTCAAACAAAAGACTCTTATGGACCAGTTCTTTTTAATGAGTCAGGCAAAAAGATTCATGAGTAATGGTTCATTTCGCAACAAATTAGTTGATATCCTGTGATTTGACTGAACCACAAATAATTTTTCCATTATGTCCGATTTGAAATGAACCATTGCTTTCATATGAACAATCTTACTGTTGTTTTATATATATATATATATATTGTAATGACTTTGATTACTTAATTTTAACTGTAGGGAATTAATTATTATTAATTCATTCAGGTTTTGATAGGACTCGGATCTGAATATTCAAAGTCCACCTGATTAAACCGATTTCAAACCTGTGGCATTGATAAAGCCTTAGACATTTTTTTTGTATTCATCTCCTGACTTCTGCCTGTCCACAACTTTATCCCGGAGATCTTTTGACAGTGCCTTGCCACCCATAGT